TGGCGCTCGGCGTCATGTACCACAGCGCATCCCAGGCCGGCCTGCTTTGTGACACCGCGCCTCCAGAGGAAGCGGAGTGCTACATATTCACCCGAACATCCTCCGTTTAACAAAAAAACAGTATTATGGCTACCAGTGTTTGGAAAACACATGCACTGGGAAAACGTCTGTCAGAGAATGTGCTGGAAAGCAAAAGTGGATCAAAAGATTCCAGCTCCCACTTGCTTCTCCTACTGGTTAAAACACACAATCAAGCGTGGATGACAGGAGTAATGGGAAACTTAATCAGGAGTGGATTTTTTGTGCTGCATCTTGAATTGGATGTTGGGAACACATTTCAGACTTACTGCTGTGACTGCGGACCATGAAGATGCATTAAAAAATATGTAACATCAGTCACAAGCTGGGCGTGACCTCAAGGTCACGTTAAGTGGAAGGGGAGCTATAGGACAGATGTAGCCTTTTCCAAAGGGCGGAAGCCGTCCGCCATTGAGGATTCTGCTTCTCTTTCAGTCAGCAGTTTGCCCAAGGGTTGTGTCAGTTTCAAAAAGCATTAAGAGTCTTCTAGAAACCGCAGCATGTCCTGCTCTGCCCAAGACTAATATGCCATGACAGGGCCTTATTAAGGGCCTGCTGAAAAGCAATGTACACAGAGAACCTTCCAGAAAGGAAGGGAACAATTATCTAAGCGTTCCAAAGAGGTGAGAATTCTCCTTAACTCCGTGATTTTCGACAGACCCCTCTGCCCTCAGGACGTGTCTTTTCAGGGCTCATCGATGCCTTGATCTTGGAGACGGAATTGTGCGTATGTCAGATTAGGGGGGTGGGAGGGGTCTGTTGCCACTTGAACCCTGGGTTGACATTTGAAGAGGATGAGAAATGGGGGAAAGAATGATGAGAGGTGTGATAATGGCAGTGTGCTTAGAGAGGAGGTCCCATCAGGATGTCTGCTCACTGCTGGGGGGGGGGGCGGAGCTGCTGGTGAGAGGGGAGCATCTTGCTGAGGACTGGTGGAGCGAGACTGTGTGGGTGAAGCCAGCGCTGTGTGTGTTCCTCCAGTTCTTGGGCTCAGACAAAGCTGGCGTGGCATCCTCCACTTCCCCTGGGTCCTAGGGCCCCCCACTGTAAGAGTAATCTGCCTTGTTGTGCATCACAAGCTTGCTGTCCACAAAGTAGAAGCTGTCCGACTGCGTCTCGTAGGGGTGAAGGATCATTTCCTGGACTGAAAAGAGGACAGAAAGGCTAAGATGTGTCAGACTCAAAGGTCAGTGTAGGTGTTCCTCTCTTATCTCATACCTTCCCTCGAGAAAGAGGACCAGACAGTTCCCCCTTTATTAAAAAAACACACTTGGAGAAAACTATATCAATCAGTCAAGTTCACTTTATCAAGGTTTTAATTCAAGAATATTACTCCTGAGAGCTGACGTTCTTTTATATCCTGCCATCTTATTTTCTAAACAAAAACAATTACTTGCACCTCCATTTCTATCCATATCTGCGTCCAAATATGGCCCATAGGTCGAAGTGGGTGTGGCCTGGTGCAGAAGGGGGCAGGGAAGGCTGGCGGTACTCACTGATCTCCTCAGAGAGGGCTGGGAACTCGTAGATGTGCTCGCAGGTGTTCTTGCTGTTGGGGATGCAGAAGCCAAACTCGAAGTCAAAAGACTTGAGGAGCCGCTCGCGGAAGTAATGCCTCTCGATCATGCGGAAGTTGTTAATGGGAGTGTCGCCCACGGTGAACTCCACCCTGTGGAAAAGTAGTGACCCAGCATCAGCTCTGAGAAGGGTGGGGCCAAGCTAAATGAAGAGAATGGAGGTTTGTGCTTAGACTGGTGTCTTTAACTTACTGGGAAGTCCATCCCCAGCTCTGGCTCCCAGAATGCACTAGGGGTCCCAGCTGAGAATTATTATGACAGCCCCCTCTGGGACCAAGCATGTCCTGGTTCCCCATCTCCTCAAAAACTGCCAGTTCTCCCAGCCGTCTATCTGTTTGTCTGTCTCTCTGCTAGATGCCCAAACTCCTCCGTCTGTCTGTCTGTCTGTGTGTGAGTGTGAGAGAGGCCCTCTGTGTGACTCGTCCAGTTCAAACAGAGGTACAAATATCCTGCTGAGTTATAATAGTCGCCCTCAAACCCCCCCCAACTGGCTCCCTGCATCTACGCCCCCCCCCCCTCACTCACGTGGCCCCGACCTGCTGCAGCCTCAGAAATGCGGGGGTGAACTGGTACCGCACAAAGCGTCCGGCGTTGGGGTCAGAAGGCCTCTTCTCCCTCGTCCTCTCTGCAAAGGACAAAGGATGATGTGACATGGACCCCCTAGTGGAGAGTCCCAGTACAGCAGGCATCACGGGGCTTTGGGTTAGGGTTAGAATTACAGTGTAACTCACCGGCATTGTGGGGTTTGGTAATCTCAAAGAGCACGGTGCCAGTCGCCATGTCACGGATCTTGAATCTTGTGAAGTCGATGTTATGAACGTTCTCCTCCGGAGAGCACAGGTAACCTGAAAGGCAGCGAGATGGTGGCCCGGTGCGTTTGTATGAGAACAACGGACAGCTGCCGTGAGTCTGCATGTACTCAGTGCTGGTAACAATACACGTGTTCAAACAGTGAAACTCATATGTGATGAAGCTCCACAGACACACACCCAGAGAGCCACATCCGCCCCCCCCCCAACACCACCCTGGCAGTCAGAATCCTGCCTGCCACCTAGAGGGGATGCAGAAAATTACAGCAGCTTCAGCAAAGGATGGTGTCATTGTACTGACTGCTATCCAAACTGCAACATGTAGGGTCAGTGAGCTGCCAAACCACACCTTACAGCCTCACTATATATTAGCATATAAAACACCATAGGCCATTTTACTGGGGTGCAATTGCACCCCCTATTGGTTAGATGAAAGAGCTATTTGTAGATATTAGGGTCAGTAAAATTGAATTGTATTCTAAAGTTATATTTGAAAATGACTGTACTGTAATAATAAATAATTGCAAATTATTGTAAATTTAGTAAATTCACCTGTTTTTTACAAATTCATTTCAGTGGGTGACTGAATTGTGGGCCTTTTGCTCTTTATCTGCTGTGACTGACTGGGCATTATGAAGGCCCCAGTGTTTGTACAGATGTTAGTCTAAGTGTCACTGAGTAATAACAGGACATGGGTAATGACCCTCAGGCTGAACTACACCAAAGAGGCTTAAGCCGCGTGCTGTGGGGTTTATGTGGCAGGTGAAGGGATTTGGGGCAGGTGGCTTGATTCTCAGGCAGCATGGCCAGCCTGGTGCCTGTGTGTGTGGGGGTTAGGGTTAGCTTTTATGGATAGGGTTAGGGTTAGGGTTAGGTTTATGGATAGGGTTAGGTTTATGGATAGGGTTAGGGTTAGGGTTAGGTTTATGGATAGGGTTAGGGTTAGTAATTAAGTCACATTGTATAATGCTGGTCTCAGGCCACCCTGTACTGCCACTGCAGGTCGTTGCCTCTCGGAGACCCTAAAGCAGTGTGTCACAGTGCTGACATAAGCCCCTCTGGGGTATTTTTAACGACATTACATCACAGATTAACACCATTAAACAGCAAAGGCTCTCATGTTTTTCTGTACCAATGTATTTTTTTTACAATACGCCTGCATTATACAAAACATATTATTCATGTCACATATATCATACATAACACCTAGATGGAAATCCTAGAGCTACATTTGGTAGCCGACAATCGGTCCTCCGAGGCCCCCTGTCTTCAACTGCCACCTGATTCACACTGTGCCTGATCCCCATGGCCCCTCCTGCAGGTTGTGGGCCCACAGGAGGGAGGACCCCTGTTATTTCTTTGGGCTATGCCTGGTGGGGCCCCATGGGTAAGGGCCCGGCCACCAGCCTGTCACCTACAAGCTCTACCCCAGGCCTGGTTCCAGGGCAGAGCTCCAGTTTCCATAATTTGGGCGGGGGTCACATTGTCCTTATTCTTTTCCATCATGGGGAATCACACTTAGTCTAGCCGCTCACCTAAGACCAGTTAGCCCCCACCAACATAGCTGCTAGGATCACTGAGGCACACAAACCCCTCCACCACGATAAGGTGGCGATTCAAACCGTCAGGCGACTCAGGAGGTGGAAGCAGGGCTTTACCCATGCTGCTACCAGCAGGGATGGAGTGCTGTTGACCTCAATTTGAGATATAATCAAGTGGTGGAAGGAATATTTTGAGGACTTCCTGAATCCCACACACCTTCCTTGGAGGAAGTACAACTGGAACTGGGCTCATACATCACTGGGGCTGAGGTCAGTGAAGTAGTCAAAAAACTCCTCAGTGGTAAGGCTACAGGGTGGATGAGATATGTCCTGAGTTCCCGAAAGCTCTTGATGTTGTTGGAACGTCTTGGCTAACATGCCTGTTCAACATTGCATGGAGACCGGATAGTGACCAAAAGAATGAGATTGTGGATATAAGAGGTAGAAATGAGAGTGTCTGGGCTCAGCCTTAGAGATGGGGTGAGGTGCTTAGACATTTGGGAGAGGCTCAAAGTAGAGAATCAAAACAGTGCCTTTGGACTGTCAGACTGAGGTGGTGGTCCCAATCTTTAAGAAAGGGAACTGGAGGATGCGTTCCAGTTTCAGGGGGATCACACTCCTCAGCCTCCCTGAAAAGGTCTATGCCGGGGAACTGGAGAGGAGGGTCTGTCTGTTGGTTGAATCTTGGATCCAAGGCTGCCCTTTGGCACTGATTCTGTTCATTACCTTAATGGACAGAATTTCTAGGCATATCAGAAGGGCAGAGGGGGTCAGGTTCAGTGACCTCAGGATCAGGTCTTTGCTTTTTGCAGATGATGTGGTTCTGTTAGCTGCGACCTTCAGCATACGCTGGAGCGGTTTGCCGCTGAGTGTGAAGCGGCTGGGATGAAGATCAGCACCCCCAGGTCTGAGGTTAGGGTTTTCAAGCAGAAAAGGGTGGATTGCCCTGTCCGTGTTGGGGTTACTGCCTCAAGCAGTGGGGTTTAAGTATCTTGGCGTCTTGTTCACAAGTGAGGGAAGAAGGGAGTAGGAGATTGACAGGTGGATCAGCACAGAGCTTTGGGTAGTGACCAAAAGAATGAGATTGTGGATACAAGAGGTAGAAATGAGAGTGTCTGGGCTCAGCCTTAGAGATGGGGTGAGGTGCTTAGACATTTGGGAGAGGCTCAAAGTAGAGAATCAAAAGGAGCCAGTTTAGATGGTTTGGGCATCTATCAAGGATGTCTCCTGGACATCTAATTTCCATAAGTGGTGGAGAACAAATGAATGAATGAGTGAATAAAAATTATTGTTCTTGGAAGCTCAGGACACTACTAGAGACATACCTGAGGCATGTACCTGAGGTGTACAGGCTGTTAATCATATTTTTGTGGACATGGGAGCACTGGCAGCTGGTGCAGTCAGGGTTTCTGTGCACGTTCAGTTTCCCATCCTACTGCTCTGAAATCCCTGATGCCAATTAGCAGGGGCAGCGTTTCTCTTCTGTTATCTAATCTGCCACATGACGGCACCATGTGGGGCAGGAGGAGAGGCCGCCAAGGCCAGTGGAGGCAATTAGTCTAGCTGTGTCCGGCTGACCACTGGCTCTCTTCTGTTCCCAGTGAGGCACCTGTCTCTCTGCTTCCCGAAGGCTTGCACTTTCTTGCTAACTCGTGCCCTAGCACTGTGGCGTCCCTTATATCCATAGCAACCACCCAGGGGGTGGCGGTGTAGGTACCGTTTGGCAGACAGAGGCTGCTGCTCAAAGCCAACGGGTTTATTGCTATTCTACTCTCCAGGGCAGTCTGGAAAGAGCGCCTGCAGGACCCTTACTGACTAAGTCCATGGCGGGTCAATGTAGCGCCATCCATTGGGCATCCTGAGAGTCTCAGACTGGTAAAGGCCCATCTGAAAACCCCCGTTTGTCCAAGCTGCATGCATTGCCGCTCGACTGCAGCACCAGTCAAGGGAGAACTGGCCTGCTCCTGTGTACTGGGCTGCACAGTGCTCGGTGACACAGCAGAGGACTGTACAACCACAATCCAGCAAGTCATGCCTGAAAGGAGCTGATATGGGCTTTGTTTTCACAGGCCGTCGGTTGCTAAGAGGCAGCCGGTGATGTAACAGCCTCCCCTGTGAATATGTTAATCTGCCATCTGGCGGGGCCGAGAGCGGACATGCGAGGAGGTACTGGCTTGCACTACAGACATGAGCTAAAGGGGTTAGCATCGCATTACATCGGGGTGCTAACAGACGCGCTGGCTGTTAATTGATTTTCCTGTTTTCAACCTTTGTCCCCAAAACAAATAGTACCTATGCTGTTTAATATAGCCAGTGAGTCAATATATCATTTATTTAGAGCAATGTTTGGTAGTAGATTCATATATAAAGCAAGTTATTGTATCTTATTTATGTAAAGCAGTGCTTGGTGAAAGGTCAACAACATGATTTATGCAAACAATTCAATGATAGGTTACTATAAAGTATATACATGTAAATCATAGATCAGTGGGTGGGTAAATCATGTCTTATTTCTGTTAATCACGCACAAAGCTACTTTGGCCCATGACTTATGATTTTTTGGTGCAAGGTAGCTGAATGTGCTTGCAATATATTTGTTTGATTGTTGAAAGGTAAATTTAACATCATGTTTATGCAGAGCAGTGCTGATAAGTTGGGAGATAATTTGAACAGGAATTCATTTGCCAGAGTAAATTTTAAAATTGGCCTAAAAATAATCCTGGCCACATTGAGAGGGCCCTTGTAGACTCCCAACATTGTGCGATAAACCACCATGGGTTTGAAAAATTCTCTGTATGTATGATAATAAAGAAAGTAAGAAACTGCATAGGCACAATTATACATGTAATGAACGTGCTGCTATAAACTATGACTGTATAAGATGAACATGACATTGGCCCACCCCTAGTGGGTGCTCCGTGTGACCCAAATCGCTCAGACCCCCTCCTTTCATCGGGGACCCCACTGGGGGGCTCAGAACCCATTTCCCCATGGGCCTGGCGCCAGCCTGAGCCCAGTTTTGGGGGAGAGGAGGTTCCGGGATGGGGAGGTCTTTGGGGCCTGTGTCCACATTCCCATCAGTCACCTAGCAACGTGCCTTTTTGTACCATTCTAGAACATCTGCCACCCACCCCCACCCCCCCAGTCCGGATGATGTTATACAAGGAAGGCTTCCATCGCAACATCAAAGGACCACAGATCAGGATGACTCTCAGGAAATCTCTGTGTCTTGTGTCCTCATGTCCTCCTCTGTGTGGCATTTTGCCTGAAAACGTCCTGCAAATGTCAGCGGTGCCACACGCCAGGAGGCTGATATCACATTTCTGTCACTCGGAGTGAGTAAGAGGACTGTCTGTCACCTTAACAGTGATCCAAAAACCAGCACAAAAAGTAAAAAACTGAAATAAAATGTACTCAGAAAGCGTTACATATGAAGCCGACATGGGAGCTGTGTGTCTCCCATTCCCCTTCGTACAGACTCAGCTGTCTGCTGTG